TTTGTTTCTTTCTTCTCCTGCAGTGTTTGCACTTGGATATGCATTTAAACACCTCACACAGAAAGGGCACAATGTTTGTGTTTCATTACAGGAGGAAAAGTGTACTGATATCAACATGCTGATGATATATTTTAACTAGTGAACCTCTTACACCTATGGTTTGGGGCTTTTTTTGCCTCACCATAGCTGTGAAAGATTTATGACCCCATTTACATGGCCAACCAATTCCACAAGGTGCAGTTCTTCCTCACACAGGCAAACGTGATGTGCAGTGTGAGACAGACACTTGTATCCTGTTCAAGCAGTGTCTGTTCATTTACTGCTCCAGTTCTCCAGGAAACTCCACTGTATGTAAGCCACTAAACAGCAGGCAACACAGAGGCCAGAAGAATTTGCAATGGATCTTTCTGCCCTATTACAGAACACTCTATCCAGTGTTCAAAAGGAAACTTCAGCACACACATCATCACAGGTCACCACTCAGCTCCAGCCCCTGGCTTAGGGAAAGCCAGTGATGAGTCTCCTGTGTGGTGCAAGCTACTCCTACCTTGACAAGAGGCATCTCCCTGGCCTGCTGAATGAGCAGATGCAATTCATTAATCTGCTGGCGAACGAGTGGTGGGACAGGATTACAGCAAGCAATGATGCCCTGGGGTTCTCTAAAGAGAGAGGGGGAGAATTCAGTGTGCTGTATTTATGGCTGCTATGCCAGGCATTTGCATTCAAAGGATGTGCAATTGGATATAACCACTGTCCTGACTGTGACAGAGCAAGACAAGTCAGATTAATCTGTCAGAGCTTATTCTCTGTGATGAAAAATTCTCCATCACATTTGTGCAGATAAGGAATATCCATTAACTCAGCTCTCACTTCACTTTTCTGTGGTCTGCCTGTCTGCCCCATCATCATTTCACTCAGTATGGAAGCTAAGCCCAGCAGTGGACTTGTCTTTAAAGATGAATTTTTAATATCCACAAGTATGAGTGTTAGATTATGAGTGCCAAGTGTACAAGGAAAATGTATAAATTGGGTGTCCCTTACCCTCCCTTTAGGAACTGCAAGAAAACTCCAAATAAATACTATGGGGGAACTCACCCCTCTTCTCTTGCTTTGTGTAATAGGATAGGAATCTCAGGGGGAATGTGTGACACAGAGCAATGCAAAGGAACGTGACTTACTAGTGGAATAAGAATGGAAAAATGAATCCCAGAAGTTTGGAGCCTTCTGAAGGATTACTGCTATCTATTTCTCTTCCAAACTCAACAACTACAGTATGGACAGCTGGAAGGAAGGCACCAACTGCAGAAGTAATTACACACTAGGAAGTGACTTGCTGGATATTAACACTAAATGAGACTCCTTAAGAGAGAACAAAACTTACTTGGGCAGCTCCTCTGAGATCTTCAACAGCATATGATTTGGTAACACATATCTACAACACAAAGAGGAGGTTGTGAATGTAATAGAATGCTAAAAACTCTTAAAAACACCTTCAAAGTGCAAATCTGCCCCAATTACAAGGTCTGAAAAGATGAAATCAGTTAGAAAGAAATGAAGTAGGGCTGATCTAGATATCTGTAAGAATTTACTGCTAACACAACAGGACTTCTGTGTAACAAGGAGCCTGAGGTAAGACAGTAATTCCTACAGATAACAAAGTGGTTCCATCTCAGGGGTGAAAGGGGCACAATCCAAGAGATTTATTGAAGCATTAAGCCAGTGTCTGTAACAAAGCACTTCCTACCCTGTGCTCTCGTCCTCTTGACGTGCTATCTTGTCTCTCCATGCAAACAGCAATCTAAATGCTGCCAGCTGCTGGGTGTTGAGGTGTTTTTTCTGCCTCCTGTAGAGCTCAGTGTAGGATTCATCTGTAAAGAGGGGCTTGATGTATTTCTGGACAGGAAAAAAAGAAACACAGGATTTGTGCTTTCTAGTTTGCTTTGCTTCACTGAAACAGAGAATCTCACATGGACATCAGGGGACTGAATATATTCTGGTACAATGTGTCTTGGAGCTTTTACTATTGGTAGGAGCCTACTCCTGAAAAACACACATCTCATCCATTTTTAAGGGAAAACCACCCTCAGCAGCTCCAGGAGCAGCTTTACTATCTTCAGGCTTTACTGTATCAGACAAGGCCTATTTTCATAGAGAGTATTTTCCAAAGACACAACAGAATTGTGCCAAGAGGCAAGTCCAGTAAGGCTTAGACCTTCCAGGAACATCCAGTAGAACTGGCAATGTAACATCTCTCTTGGAAAATATACCTGAGTGCATCATGAGGCCAAAGAGTGCTAGCACTCAAAACCCAGCAGGAAGGCATCTGAATCCAAGGATTTCAGCTAGTGAAACAAGTGACTGCACATGACTGAGTCAGAGTTCATACAGTTTCAGACACACAAAGAGGAAACAGAACTGTGTCTATGCAACAGATGTCGAATAGGCAAAGGATCTTTGTCCTAAGCCCATACTCTGATCCAGGTAATCCAACCAGGGGAAGCTTTACCTTCAGGCAGATGTCCCTGCTGCGCTGCCACACAACCTGCAGCTGTGTGGGCTGCTCATTCCCTCTCTCCCACAGCGACTCCCTCACTTTGTCATAGATGTAGAGCAAGTAGTGAGTGTCATCACGGGCATACTGGATCATTTCTTCTGGCAAAGGACTAGAAAAAGAGCCAAAATTACACATTTTAGTTGTCCTGTTAAACTGTCACTTTCCTCTTGCAAGGCATATTAGGGAAAACTGCACATAAGACATGCCAAGAACTAACATGGAAATTTTTCTGTTTCCTTACTGAAGGATTTGTTGGGCAACAGCAGGAACATGCTGTGCACTCTCCAATTCAGATGGCATCTCGTTCATGTGGCAGAGGGCAGGACTGTGTAGCTAAGTCAGATGGCAGAATTGCTTGCTATGGTAATTGTCAAAACTGTCCTCTCTCTGCAGAGCCTACAAAAGTAGACTTGGGATCTCTGCAGCATGCAGGATGCACCGACATAGCCCAAGCTGACTGCTCCAACAGCATCTGGCACCGACATATCCCAAGCTGACTGCTCCAACAGCATCTGCACTACCTTATACAGGTGACTGAGTGTTTTTGGGGGGCTCCAGAGGAGTAAACACTGACTATCTCCATAACACTACAGTGGTTAAGCACTGTTCCTAAGAAGTGAGCTTCCAGGAGCTTTTAATGACTTACTATTCCCAGATCTTACCAAAAGAACTAGTTTTCTAAAGAAACATGGGAAAATGTAACACTCAAAAGAATTTAGAGGAAGGCCAGGTAAATGCTGTGCCCATTCTCTTTGAGGCTAACCTATAGCTATAGGTCTTGCAACTAGAAGCTCTAGCAATGCAAACAAGGAGAAGTGCTACCTTGCAGCTCCAGCCCATTTAGGGGTCAGTTTTTACCGTATCCTCCAGTCAGCCAGTTGGTACTTCTTCTCAGCATCTACATTGCAGTACAGCTTGAGCAAGTGCTCCAGAGAGTGTCTGCCAAGGTTGAGGACACGAGCAGCTTGGTGAGTATCAAACACGTTCACCAAGTACAGACCAAAGTCTCTCTGCAGCCATTCCACGTCGGAATCGGCACCATGAAGGACCTTGAGAAGCAAAACAAATGGAGAATGATAAGAAGAACATTTCTACTTCAGGCTGGTGGTGCTGTGCTTTCATATTGATGTGTCTAGGACCAGATTTCTTCTCTCTGTACTTCACTGTTAAGGGCAGAACTACTAAATGAGTGACTCTGGCAAGTAACTCACCACTTACAGCAAGGAGACAGGCTCAGAAACAAATTACAGTGAAAGCAGAGCCAAGTGACCAAGACAGAGCACGCACACAGGGTAATTTTAACTTTAAGAAAGCTTAAACTAAAAAAAGAAAAGGTATTGTGGTGGATTTGGCAGCTGACCTTCACAATTGCAGGGTCTGTGAAGGTCTCGTTGAGGATGTACATGTCGCTGCGAAGTTCCAGAGTATCAATAATGAAATCCTCTGTTCGGGTGGAAATCTGCATCAGGCATGTCAAGCCCAGGAAGCTCCTGTAGGAATGGTGCTGAAAATAGGGAAGAGAGATGTGAGCTAGGATTCCTTACTGAAGTAATACTACAAAAGAAACAACACCCCAAATGAAGGAAGAAAAAGTAACAGAAGACTTCTTCAAGAAAAAAAGACAACTGGCTGAGCAAACTTTCTCCTTGCAGTCACTAAGATGACATAAAAAAATGGGATGAATTTAAAGAAGATCAAATTTAGTAAGAACTGTGTAGCCAGTCCTACCATTGGAAACCTTCAAATACTAATACATTTTAATTCAACCTTGTAGATAATATTTGACAGGTCAGAGCCATGAACTGTCTTTTCATGTCAGAAAGTACAAAGAGCAGGAGAAAGCCACAGAACAGACTAGAAGAATATAAAGGTCTCCTAGTACACGTGTAAAAAAAAGTACGTGTAACTTTAAAACAGAAAAGGCAATTTGATTACCTCTAAGTCCAGGGCAAATTCTTTACAGTTCATAAGCTTTTCATTTAGTTCTACCAGACCATCCAGCGTGGTGATAAAATGAAAGGGTGTTTCCTCGATGGGCCTGTACATCTGGCAGAGCAAATGAGTTAGGCGTGGTATGTTCTCTGTCAACTCCACCTGAAGTTTGTCAAGCAAGGCTGAAAATGTACTGCATCTGCAGTTAAAAATTAAAGTGGGAACCAACCTGGAGTTCTGGTTTCTTGAGAACTCCATCTGGTGGAGAAAAATGCTCCAGTTCATACTGGTAAGGGTGAGCAAACCTGTGGAAATTAGGAAGACAAGCACAAACTAAATTCCAGTCATCTTTTTGAGGCCAGAGCACAGAGACTTTGGGAGCTATGGCAGTTTCCCTATTGAGTAGAAGTTTTGTCTCTTATTAAGCACAGGTTTAAGGTAACTGCAGATGTCTAAAGCAAATCACACACAACGTAGTGTGGACACAAACACATGCAGAGCTGTTACATATGAGCAGCATCAGCACAATGACCATTCAGGTGCACGTTCACCCGTGGTACTCCAAGCACCTTGCTGTCAGGTTCATTTCTTACATGTCTTGCTCAGTTTTCTGGGTCCTCTGCTGATGTATGAAGTCTGCCAAAGCAGCTGGCACATCCAAGTCCTCAGGCCGCTCCTTTCGCTGCCGTCCACTTTTTGTGAGGGCTGAACAACCAATATGCAATAACTGGACTGGGTCCCCCAAAAACATGTTCTCAACCTACTGCTCTCTCCCCTCCACCCACCACAAGATCCTATTAAAATCATCAAGTATCTTAACAGTTTAGTGCTCCAGCTTTTGCTGACAGCACCTGTAATGACAACTCGGTCACTAGGTTCTACCAGGCTGATGTCAGGCAAGACACAAGGTGGTTTTGCACACAAGCTTGGATGGAGATTGAAAAATCTTCAGAAGAATCTTTCAATCACTCCCAGTTACTGAAAGTACAACTGCATCAGTGGAGATTATGGATGAACTGGTAGCAGCAGAACATGTTACCAAGACAGGGTGTTTAAACAGTAGCTCTGATAAAAGCTAAGCTCTACCAAAGCTAAGGTAGATCTCCCCACACACCTGGTGCTCCTCACTCCTTTGGAGGAGCATCTGTAAAGCCAACTAGACTAGTCAAGGCTTCTGAGGCAACAGTGACTCTCTCGTATGCTCAATGGTGTTAAAGAGCAGCACCAGAATATGTTTGAACAGATTATTTGCTGTTTACCAACAAGCAGATGCTGTATGCTGACCTACCCTTACATTACACACATGTAAACAGCAGAGTCACAAAGTTCACTGCACCTAAATGCTCAACATCTCCTGCTGTTACCTGTTTTTACAGTCAGATTTCTCCTCTAGATTGTGAGGACAGATTTGTGTTACATACTCTCAACAGGTTACCCAACAAAAACAATTCCCTTACCTTCAGGCAAAGGTTTCAAAGCATTTGGCTTGATAAAAAGTTTAGGTACAAAGGGAGTGTTGGAATTGTCAATCTTTTCCCGAAACTTAAGCTGTGGTCGAGAGATATTCTTGGCATGAAGCAGTCGGAAGGTTTCAGACTGATTTCTCTTGTGGAATTCTCCTGCCTGTTTAAAAAAACACAAGTAAAACTCACATGACTTAACAGACATGCAGAGTTTCTTTCACTCAGCCTGATCCAACATTCAGAGGAAAAAAGTTATACCACAAAGTCAAAATGGAGTCACTTTCTTTCTAGTGAATCCAACACCTAGTAATGAAAGTTTTCTGACTCAGGATCTTGAATTCATATGGATAAGTACAGCAAAGGCTGTTATCATAGTTTCATAGAATGTTAAGGAGTTGGAATGGATCTTAGAGGTCATCCAGACCCAATCCCTGCCCTCGGCAGGGACACCTCCCACCAGAGCAGGTTGCTCAAGGCTTTAGCCAACCTGGAATGAACACTGCCAGGGTTGGGGCAGCCACAGCCTTCCTGGGCAACCTGTGCCAATGTCTCACCACCCTCACAGGGAAAAACTTCTTCCTGATGTCTAATCTAAATTTCCTTCTTCCAATTTATCCCCATTGCTCCTTGTCCTATCACTACAGTTCCTAACACAAAGTTCCTCTCCGTGTCCCTTTTTCATGTTGTGTACATGAAACTGAAATGGCAATTGAAAGCACACAGAATGCAGTTTGAATACATAGGAAAAGGAAAAAAGAGGGAGGGAATTAAGACGTGTAAAAACCCATGAGAGAACATTTAACTACTCAACCCCAGTGGAAAATCAGTAGTGCCAAGGCTGTGAGAACAGCTGAGCTAACACAGCAAACTGAGCACTGAGGCCTACCTTACGGTTCCAGCTGGAGATGATTGTCTGTGGGGGCTGCAGCCCAGCTGGCAGGACTGGCTGCTGGTTTCTGTTCACTCCTGATGCTTCATCCAACAAAAGACTCTAAAATCCAGAAAAGCAAGGTGAAACACCTGTAAAATTACCACTCTAATCAGACTGACTAAAACAAAGACATGTAGACAGGCACCTCCACAGTCATTTCCCCCAAATTCTATGCAACACAAGACAAACGTGGGAAGAATATGTTGAACATCAGGGGTGGGAAGAGTTTCTACAGAGAAGCAGTTCTAAAATTTAAAGACCTGTTCTCAGGTTGTGAGGGTTTTATGCCACAGTGTATTTAGTTTCCTCTCAAATCACACATTGCAGTCCCTCCCTTTGGGCCACAACCATCTGCCCCAGCTGCTGGGACCTATGGCCTAGAGCAGGGAAGTGTTTTAAAAGTAAAAAGGGAAAACACCAAAGAGAGGAAACACTAATTGTGAAAACACTACCGCTGATACTCTTGCAATGAGAAAAGAACCGGTGGCACCTGCAGAGTTTAGGAGAACAACATCCAGAGACAATCTGCTCACCACTCGTTCAAGAATGACGTCATTGGAATCAACCAGCAGATCAAATTTATCTTCCAGCCCTGTCACTTTGTTGGAATCTTTCATGAGGCTCCTGCAGCCGTGGTACTGCATCACCTGGCTCATGCTTGGGAGAGAACAGCACAGCTGTTAGCAATATGAAAGCAGGAGTACTGAACACTGCAACATCCAGTTACCTTCCACTTTCTACACTCCAGTGATTGAAAATAAATCAGAGGTAATAACAGACAAGCAGTGAATAGAAAAAGCAGCTATCCAGTAGTGTTAGAATTAACTTCTCAGGAATCATGTGAGGTTTAAAATGGGCAATGGTTGGTATCAGCTGCTCCTCTGCACAGGTCCTCATGGAAAACACACCGAATATTCACACAGAATGTTCAGAGTTGGAAGGGACCCACAAGGACCATCAAATGCAACTCTCAGCCCTGCACAGGACACAGAATCACACCCTGTGCCTGTAAGCACTCACTATCAAGCCACTGTAAAAAGGTCTAACCTTGTCACTTCAACCACCAAGCGCTGCAAAACCAGCTACAGTTAGCTAAACAAAATAAAACACCTTTTCACGACAGCAAGTGTGGAGTCTCCAGAGAAGGGAGCAGCTCCTGCTTTGGGCTGGGAGCCCTGAGGGGGAGCCCCGGGGAGCAGCAGGCCCTTACCAGCGGAGCAGGCGGTCACCCTGCGTGCGGCAGTACGCGCGGAACCCGGGGAAGCTGCGGTGGAAGTCATACTCATCTCCAGGCTGGGGCAGCCCATTGGCTGCCTTGGTGGCAGCCATCACTGTGCCTAGAGCATACTGGGCAAAAACATCATGTTATCAGCATGGTTTGTCAGAGAATCATAGAATCATTGAGGCTGGATGAGACCTGTAAGGTCACCAAGTCCAACTATTAAACTCCACTATAAGCCCTAAGCCATAAACTCCAGCACCAGATCCAGACACCTCTTAAACAATCCCATGGATAGTGACTCCATCACCTCCCTGGGCAACACTCCAGTGCCTGAACACCCTAACAGTATTTTGTCCCTGTTTAGCCAAGATATTCTTTGGTAGGGATGTATTTTCCTGGCTGGTGAGAGCTGTGTGGCTCCAGTATGGAACACCCTGGGGCTTTCACCAGGAGTAAGTCACATTTAGAGACCTTTAACGATGAAACCCTTAAGAACAAGCCTCAGCCTAGTATCACAGAGCTGACACAAAACATTAGACATCTGCAGGATACAGATAATTCCTTTATTATTTTAACTAAACCCCCCAATCCCCTGCAACGCTTCCCCACTCAGCATCCTTATCCTGTCAGCAGCATCGCGCACAGGTGAGCCACACCGGAGCTGGCGATGTGCAACACCGGGGGCGATTC